TACACCTCACCCTGTATTCTCTTCCAGCACTGTTCATCCCTGCACCTCCCCCTGCAAGTCTCTTCCTGCACTGTTCATTCCTGCACCTCCCCCTGCAAGTCAATTCCAGCACTGTTCATCTCTACACCTCCCCCTGTATTCTCTTCCTGCACTGTTCATCCCTGCACCTCCCCCTGTATTCTCTTCCAGCACTGTTCATCCCTGCACCTCCCCCTGTATTCTCTTCCAGCACTGTTCATCCCTGCACTTCCCCCTGCAAGTCTCTTCCAGCATTGTTCACCTTTGAACTTCCTCTTGCAAGTCTCATCTGGCTCTTAATGTGGAACTGCTTCAGGGTCCCAGGGCTCTTGTGATAAAGTACAAGTATGCATATCATACTACTATGTTATGTCAAACTTTCCTCCATAAGTTGTACTCTCCATGGATGAAATGTCCACACTTCCCTTCATCTTCTCCTAGTCTTCTTTGAGGTTGGAGTCTTCTGTCTTCAGCCAGTCTATGTTGGCCAGCCACAGATCTCTTAACCATTTCAATACCGGGCACTTTTACCCCCTTCCTGCCCAGGCCATTTTTCAGGTTTCAGCGCTCTCACACTTTGAATGACAATTGCGCGGTCATACAACATTGTACCCAAACTAAAATTTTATCATTTTCTTCACACAACTAGAGCTTTCTTTTGGTGGTATTTAATCACCACTGGGGTTTTTATTTTTTGCTAAATTAACAAAAAAAAGGACCAAAGATTTGGAAAAAAAAACACGTTTTTCTTTGTTTCTGTTATAAAGGTTTGCAAATAAATAATTGTTCTTCATAAATTTAGGCCAAAATGTATTCTGCTACATGTCTTTGGTGAAAATAACCCAAATTAGGACGTATTTTTTTAGTTTGTAGGAAAGTTATAAGTTCACAAACTATAGTATATATCTGAATATTGATCAGTCTTGAAGTACCGATGGCCAATCTAATTTCTTGAGGCCCAAGAATGTCAGAACAGTACAGATGACCCATTTTTGCAAAGTAGACAGTCCGACGTATTTCATAAGAGGCATGGCAAGTTTTTTGAAGTTGTATTTTTTGTCATTTTTCGGAATATGAAAAAATTAAAAAAAATTTCACTTTTTTTACATACTGTCACCAGTGCAGTACAGCGTCATCATATAACTGGCATTGCAGTGATCAGGGACACTGACTGGTGACAGTATGAAAAAATATATATATAATTTTTTATTTTTAATTTATTACTTTTTTTTTTTTTTCACTATGACCAAAGTAGTACAATGTTACCATAGTAACATTGTACTACTTTGGGGAAGTGATCAGTATTTTTTTTTATTTTTACACAATTTGCTTATAGCAAAGAATTACCAAAAAAGTAGACGCTATAACTTTCACATAAACCAATTAATTTACACGTATTGGGATTTTTTTTTATTTTAGCAAAAGACATTTAGCAGAATATATTTTGGCTGAAATTTATGACGAAATTTAGATAATTTTTTCAAATTTTTACTGGATATGTTTCATAGCAAAAAGTAAAAAATGTAGTTTTATTTTCAAATTGTCGGTCTTTTATTGTTTATAGCATAAAAAATAAAAGGCACAGGCGATCAAATACCACCAAAAGAGCTCCATTTGTGGGGAAAAAAAAAAGACATAAATTTCATTTCAGTGCAGCACTGAATGACTGCTTTTTTCAGTTAAAGTAACGCAGCGCCGTATAGCAAAAATTGTCTGGTCAGGAAGGGGGGTAAATCCTCTGGCCGGCAAGTTGTTAATGCAAAGTTGCGTCTCTTAGACTTTAAGGCTCGGTTCACACTGCCACGACTTGGGATCCGACTTGTGAGACCTCAGATCGCATGACATGTGAAATCCCATGTTAGTCAATGAGAGCTGTCTTAATTAGCACTACTGAAGTTGCTACGACTTTAGAAAAGGTTCCTGTACTGCTTCAAGGCGACTTCTATAAGACTTTATTGAAAGTTGCAAGTCGGATGCTTTTGTCTACAGTTAGGTCCATATATATTTGGACACAGGCACAATTTTAGCTTTTTTTCAGGTATTTACCAGAACATATTCATGCTATAGTTACCGTATTTCTCGCTCCATAAGACACACTCCCCCCCCCCCCCCCCCCCCCCCCAATAAATAAAATGGGGGAGAAAATGTCTGTGCGTCTTGTGGAGCGGCTGGCCCGGTATTGCCGCCACCGTGTTAGAATACCGGGCTGGCCGTTCAGTTCTTCTGTGCAGCAGAACCTGCTCCTCGGTCCTACCTGTTCCTAGGTCCAGCGGTGTCCTCACCGTCTTCCCAGGTGGTTCTGATGTTAAAAGGGAGAATTATTCAACTTTTCTCTGTCAGCCCATTTTGTAGTTCCCTAGCAGGTGGTGTCTCTGATATCAAGGACCAATGCTCCGTTTTAGGGAGGGAAGGTCTGGGCGTAGACCTAAACTAGAGCCAAAATCTCTAGTTCATATTTTGGCTCATAACTTTCCCTATGCACAAGTGACATTCCACCACAGGTAGATTATTATGCAGACACATCTGAGCGGGTAGATATGAAATATGAAATACATATTTGAAGGGTTCCAGAGATGTAATTTTCTGCTTTCCTAGGTATTTCAATCAGGGAGTGTGATCTATCAAATTGTTTGTCTCCTCGTGGCCAATCTGAAGATATGCCTGGGAAGGCTTGCGTTATCTTTTACAATGTGCTAGATTGCACAGCTCTCTTAGACAACCAGGCGCTTCAGCTCAAAAATGTTTTATAGCTCTGGGCTCCCTGCTGTGCCCTGGCCAGCGTGTGACACTTTTTAACACACAGGCCATATGTCAATGTGTATGAACAGAGAAGAAGGGGGGAGAATGAGAGGAAATATGTTTGTCAAGATGGTTGACCCTTTGCCAAGATGGAGGTTAAAGCCAAAACGGTTGAACCGCGTCCATCTCTGTGTGTACGCTTGCTACAGCGCCCCCCCCCCTTTTTTTTTTTCTTTAAGGGACCAAAAGTAATTGGACAATTGAATCAAAAGCTGTTTAATGGCCAAGTGTGGGCTACTCTTTCATTATTTCTTCATCGATTAAGCAGGTAAAAGTTCTGGAGTTGATTCTAAGTGTGGTATTTGCATTTGGAATCTCTTGCTGTGAACCTATAGTATCTCACGGATGTGGGGGGTGTACTCACTTCTGTGAGATACTGTACATCATGCGTTCAAAGGAGCTGTCTATGCAAGTGAAAGAGGCCATCTGATGGTGGTGCTGCATTGTGTAAATGCTCCTATCTCCACTCTTAACTAGGAAACGCATTGACTCCTGCTAAATTCAGAACAAATAGTGTATTTATATTTGTGTATATGTTGACCAGTTCTCACCTCTAGCTGCACTTGTTTTATGACTGTAGTCTGTTTCCTGAGAAACATCTCCCACTATTCATGTGATCCTTATCAGCTTCTAATTGGGGTGGAGTTGAATGTTCATTTGAGCATCTCCCTATAAATTTTAGATCAGCTCATGGGGGGAGATCACTGATGGGGGGGCACAGTCTCTGATGGGGGTGCTGCATTGCGTGAGTGCTGCGTTTGATGGAGTGCTAAGAAGAAGCAGTTAAACACAGCAGTTGAACTAAAGCAGGAGAACTCAAGCAGCAGGAAGACACAACAACAGCAAGAAACTCTACTGCATGCTGGACAGACTGCAAGCAAACACCCTGGGAAACATCTCTTGCAAGTCTGAGTCCCACTTTGTGTACCTTTTTAATATGTCCCCTCTACTCCTCCTTTTCATATCACTTTCTTGTGTTCCCAAAATCTAATTTCTTTACCCCTCTGCTCCACCCCAAAACTTGTACATCTCACCCTCACTTCTACCATCTCCCTACTACTGCTCTCATCACCTCCTGCTGATACTTCACTCTCCTGCTGACCCAAACACCAGGCCTGGAAGGCATGTGCACTCATGTACATCCCGCTCCCATATTACTTTCCTCACCCTTCTTCTTCTCCTAACCTCTGGGGATATTTCCCCAAACCCTGGTCCTTCTCCACCTCACTTACCCACTGGGTACCCTCCTACCCCCACGATCCGCCGCAACCCCCTCAACCTTATACCTGTCCCCCTCCTCCCCGCATCCATCCCTCCACGTTCGGTTGCACTCCTGAACGCCCGATCGGTTTGCAACAAGCTCACCGCCTTCCATGACCTCTTTATCTCCCACTTCCTCAACCTCCTAGCGGTCACTGAAACTTGGATCCAAGCCACTGACTCAGCCTCCCCTGCCGCACTCCTATGGAGGTCTCGTCTGGTCCCATTTACCCAGACCGAGCATGTCAGGGCTCCGGGTATGACCAGAGGTATGTGAACTGACGCAGGGAAACGCAGGCTTCAGATAAGTTATAAACAATATAATTTGTTAAAGACTAACAATACAAACATAAACGCAGTGCACCAAACCCCAAGCTAACACAAATACATACAACAAGGTGAAACAAACCCAAACCTAAACTGATACAGATACACAGGTACATACACATAAGGAGCATAACGTAATCAGGCAGGCCGGGTCGATAACTATCGGGCAGGTAGGTACAGAAGGAGCAGGCGGAGAGAATGGTCAGGGTCACAAGCCATGGATCAAAACAGGAGAAGTCAGCAGGGGTCAGGATCAAGCAGGGTCAGCAACAAGTCAGGCAGAGGCAGGAACAGGAACGCAGGTTACAAGATACAGGGGCCCAGGAAAAACACACACCAAGGCCCAGACTGCAGGTCTGGCCATCCCTTAAATACACCTCCGTAATCAGCTTCAGGTGTTTGGCTGGCTGCAGGGTTGAGTCTCTGATTGCTGAGAGCACCCGCTGGCCAGCCCTGGTACTGCAGCCCACAAGGCAGGTGAGTCCCACCATTACTGGCAAGTCCATTCCTGACAGTACCCCCCCCCCTCAAGGAGCGGCCTCAGGACGCTCCAAACAGTCCTAGCTGGGCAAAATGTTCCACCGCCTGGGTCTGGTAACTGGCGGGATATCAAAGACTGGCACATCGGGCAGGACTCCGGGCAGCGGCACATCGGGCAGGACTCCGGGCAGCGGCACATCGGGCAGGACTCCGGGCAGCGGCACATCGGGCTAGACACCGGGCCACCCGGCGGAGCAGCAGGGCACCGGGCCACCCGGCGCGGAGCAGCGGGCACCGGGCCACCCGGCGGGCACTGGGCCCCCGGGAGGGGCGGCAGGCACCGGGCCCCCAGGCGGAGGGGCGGGCACGGGTCATCAGGCACGACAACGGGCATCTGGTCACCAGGCATCAGGTCATTTGGCTCGTCAGCGGGCACCGGGTCATCAGGTACCAGATCGTCTGGATCGACAGCGGGCACCGGGTCATCTGGCGTTGGATCGTCTGGCTCGACAGCGGGCATCGGATCACCAGGCATGACAGCGGGCACTGGGTCACCAGGCATCAGGTCATTTGGCTCGCCAGCAAGCACCGCGTCATCTGGCAAGGCAGTGGGCACCGAGTCACCAGGCACGACAGTGGGCTCCGAGTCAACTGGCATAACCGCGGGCACTGGGTCAGACATTGGATCGTCTGGCCCGACAGCGGGCATCGGGTCACCAGGCATGACGGGGCACTGGGTCATCAGGCATGGGATTGTCTGGCTCGACAGCGGGCATCGGGTCACCAGGTATGACAGCGGGCACTGGGTCACCAGGCATCAGGTCATTTGGCTCGCCAGCGGGCACCGCGTCATCTGGCAAGGCAGTGGGCACCGAGTCACCAGGCACTACAGTGGGCTCCGAGTCAACTGGTCTAATAGGATCATCAGGCTGGATCAGTTCATCAGGCTGGGTAGAAACATCATGCTGGGTGGAGGCATCATGCTGGGTGGAGGCATCAGGCTGGGTGGAGGCATCAGGCTGAATTGTGGGTGCCGAGGCACCAGGCTGCACCACGGAAGGCAGGTTTTCAGATGGGAGGCTGACCGGTTTGGATACTGGCAGGATAGTATTGGTTGGAAAGAACTTTCGCCTTTTCCTGGTTTTAGTTACCGGAGCACTGTAAGTAAGCGGAGGTTTGTAAACGGATGGAGCAGCTAGAGACAGAGAAGAGCTGGAGGATGGAACAGGGGAGGGAACAGTTGCTACAGAGGGCTTCTTTACAGGGTTAAAGGCAGGATAGGTGCAGCGAGTGGGAACAGGGTACTGACATGCGGTAGATAGCAGGGTATACTGGGCTGTAACTGGAGGTGCTGTTGGGAATGCAGGAATAGAGCTTTGAAGAAATAGATTAGAAGCAGGACTGGGTTTTTGCAAGCTGAGGCTGGGTGTAACAAATCTGACCATGTCTGCAGTACGGGTTGAACAAAGCTCAGCTTACACAAAGCCTGTCTGACCAAAGACTGCACTGCGTTTATACAATCCCTTAATACCTGTGGTGAACATGCAGCATAATGCTCCAAGAAGCAATCCACATCATCCTCTAATAACCATACCAGGGACTCTACCTGGTCTGCACTAAATGGTGGCAAAAAGTCATTCCTGCTTTCAGGGGTACCAGATGAAGCTAACTCTACACAAACCTGAATCAAAGGTTGCACCTCAGAGAACTCTGTGCCCTGATCTACTAGAACATGAGCGATCCTTATACACTCTAGCAGTTGATCCCGGGTATACTCCCTCAGAGTTTGATAAGCATATTCTCTGTCATCAAAAACCAGCAGCGACAAATACACAACCTCATCAAGATCCATCCTTCCCAGCAACAAGCCAAGATGGCTTCCCTGTGCAGCCACTGCTGGTCAGGATTGGCCTTGGTGTAATGTCAGGGCTCCGGGTATGACCAGAGGTATGTGAACTGACGCAGGGAAATGCAGGCTTCAGATAAGTTATAAACAATATAATTTAATTATTAAAGACTAACAATACAAACATAAACGCAGTGCACCAAACCCCAAACTTACACAAATACATACAACAAGGTGAAACAAACCCAAACCTAAACTGATACAGATACACAGGTACATACACATAAAGAGCATAACGTAATCAGGCAGGCCGGGTCGATAAATATCGGGCAGGTAGGTACAGGAGGAGCAGGCGGAGAGAATGGTCAGGGTCACAAGCCAGGGATCAAAACAGGAGAAGTCAGCAGGGGTCAGGATCAAGCAGGGTCAGCAACAAGTCAGGCAGAGGCAGGAACGCAGGTTACAAGATACAGGGGCCCAGGAAAAACACACACCAAGGCCCAGACTGCAGGTCTGGCCATCCCTTAAATACACCTCCGTAATCAGCTTCAGGTGTTTGGCTGGCTGCAGGGTTGAGTCTCTGATTGCTGAGAGCACCCGCTGGCCAGCCCTGGTACTGCAGCCCACAAGGCAGGTGAGTCCCACCATTACTGGCAAGTCCATTCCTGACAGAGCGGCCGTAGAGGTAGTGGGGTTGGCGTGCTCTTGTCACCGCTGACCACCTTCCAGGTCCTCCCAAATCCCCCCTCTCTATCCTTCTCCTCCTTCGAGGCCCACTGCATCCGACTCTTCTCTCCCACCCCTCTGAGGATTGCAGTAATCTATCGGCCTCCTGGACCCGTATTCCGCTTCCTAACGACTTTTCCGCCTGGCTGCCCTTCTTCTCCTCTGAGCTACCCACCATCATCCTTGGAGACTTCAATATCCCTATCAATGTCAACAACCCGGCCACATCCCAACTCCTCCACTTAACTTCTTCTTTTGCACTCACACAGTCCTCCACCCACACCAATGGGAATACCCTGGATCTCGTTTTCTCCCATCTCTGCACCCTCCACAACCTCACAAACGCCCCTTTCCCTCTCTCTGACCACAACTTCATTACGTTCTCCGTCTCCCCGTCCTATAACGCCTCCCCCCCCCCAAACGTCAAACCATCACCAGCTGTAACCTCCGCAACCTGAACCCGGCCCCTCTCCACTCTGCAGCCGACCGTCTGTATGAAAGCATCCTTCCACTGTCATGCCTTGACCTGGCCACTATAACGACTCACTGTCAGCTGCCTTAGACTCCTTAGCACCCCTAACCACACGTAGCATTAGACCCCGACCGCTTCAACCCTGGCAGAACGACCACACTAAAAATCTTAAACGACACAGTCGTGCGCTGGAGCGATTATGACGCAAAACCAGATCCCCTCAAGTGCTCTCCCTCTACAAATCCGCCTTCCTCACCTACTCATCCTCCCTCCACGCCGCCAAACAAGCCTACTTTGTAACCCTCATCAACACCCTCTTCACCTGTCCTCGACGGCTCTTTTCCACTTTCAACTTCCTACTCTTCCCCTCCCCCCCCCCCCCCCCCCCCCCCCACCCCCCCCCCCCCCCCCCCCCCCCCCCACCTTGCTCACCGCCCCCGGGTACCTTGCTCACCGCCCACGATTTGCCAATCACTTCCAAAATAAGATCGACGCAATCCGTAAGGACATCGCCAATGCTCAACCTACCTCCCCTCCTAGCCTCCCTCCTACCATAACCCTACCAACTCTTCCCTGCTCTGACCTCGCAACCGCCCTACCCCCCACCACACCGAACGTTCTGCACACTATAACCTCCCCAACAATCCGCTCCTTCAGCCTTGCTACCACTGAGGAGGTCACTAAGGTCTTCTCAGAAGCCCGCCTCACCACTTGCCCCCTGACCCTGTCCCCACACAACTCCTCTGGGCACCCTCCTCCTCCATCCTACGCTCCCTCACCCACATCTTCAATCTCTCCCTCTCTACTGGCGCATTCCCCTCCCCCCTAAAGCACGCGTACATCACCCCCATACTCAAAAAACCCTCCCTTGACCCCACCGACCTGAACAACCTTAGACCCATCTCCCTGCTGCCATTTACTTCCAAGCTCCTTGAGCGCTTACTCTACAATCGCCTAAGCACCCACCTCACTGACAACAACCTCCTCGATCCACTACAGTCTGGCTTCCGTCCCCTACTCAAAATCACTAATGACCTGCTAACCGCCAAAGCTAATGGCCACTACTCAGTCCTCTAACTCTTCGACCTTTCCGCGGCCTTCGACACAGTCGACCACCCCCTCCTCCTTTACAAACTACACTCCCTCGGCATCAGAGACTCCGCTCTCTCCTGGCTCTCCTCCTATCTATCCCAACGCTCCTTCACCGTTACCTATAACGCTACCATCTCCCCCTCTCTGTTGGGGTCCCCCAAGCTCGGTCCTCGGGCTCCTTCTCTTCTCCATCTACACCTCCTCCCTCGGCAAACTGATACACTCCCACGGCTTCAACTATCACTCTACGCCGATGACACGCAAATTTACCTCTCACCCCTTCAGTCTCCGCCCATATCACCCACCTACTGAACGACATATCAGACTGGATGTCGCTCCATTTCCTCAAATTGAACCTTTCCAAAACCGAGCTCCTGATTTTCCCCCCAGCCCGTGCCCCCACCCTCTCCATCACGACCAACAACGCCACCATCAGTCCCACCCCACAAGCCAAAGTCCTAGGTGTCACTCTAGACTCAAACCTGTCCTTCCAACCCCATGTCCAATCGTTGGCAAACTCATGCAGGCTCCACCTCCGCAACATCTCCAAAATACGTTTGTTCCTAACCCCAGACACTACTAAACAACTCGTTCACTCCCTTATTATCTCACGTCTGGACTACTGCAACTCCCTTCTCACCGGCCTACCTCATCACAGACTATCCCTGCTTCAGTCTATCCTGAACTCAGCGGCCAGACTCGTCCACCTTACCAACCGCTCTGCTTCTGCCACCCCCCTCTGTCATTCCCTCCACTGGCTCCCGATTGCCCAACGCATTAAATTCAAACTACTAACACAGACATACAAAGCCATTCATAATGCTGCCCCGAACTACCTCATCGACCTGATACCCAAATACCACCCTACCCGTAATCTTCGCTCCTCACAAGATCTACTTTCTAGCTCCCTGGTCTCCACCTCTCACGCCTGACTGCAGGACTTCTCCAGGACTTCCCCCATCCTCTGGAACTCACTACCCCAATCCATCAGACTGTCACCTACCCTCCTCGCCTTTAGGCGCACACTGAAAACCCATCTCTTCAGGGAAGCCTACCCCACCCTCACCTAACAGCCGATCTCCTCCACTCCTCCTACCACTCCATCCCCCACAGCCACTTCCTCCTGTACCACTATCCCCTCCCTCCTAGATTGTAAGCTCGAAAGAGCAGGGCCCTTGAATCCCTTGTGTTTTGTTTTGTTACTGTATTGTCTCATGGAATAGCCGGACGTCCGGCGAGGAGGACGTGCGTCGGCGAGCTCCTGCTCCCGAGGCCCCAATCCGCTGCCATCTGGGCGGCAGCGGACCCTGACGGGGGCCCCTCGACTCTGCGGTCCCTGCTTGTCAGCCAGGGAAGGCCATTGGACCTTTTTCCTGGAGCTCCGGGACTTGCGGCCTACCCGGATCGCCGGGCATCAGGCTGGGCTGCTGCCGCTCCGTTCCCCGGTCCCCGGCCGTTTAGCCAGCCTCCCCAGGGCCCCCCTCACCGGCCCTGGGTCCATCCCCGACCACCGGGTACCA